ACGGGATATCTGGGTGAGCGACGTGAATTTGAACTCGTAGGCTAAAGCCTTCTCAAGCCAACACGGTAACCACTATGCTAGTAAAGATCTTAGTGATAGGGAAAACTATATAACTATCTATTGTCCCATTTCATGTTAGTTTCAGAAACAGTAAAGACAGAACTTAAAGAATTAAAGCAGGAGCTGAAGAAAGCTGACATGTTCACCATTGACTATACTCGACCTCTGACGGTTGAAACGGATGCCTCGGATATGGCGATAGCTGCCACACTCAACCAGGATGGCTGCCCCGTAGAGTTCTTTTCGAGAACACTCCAAAAGTGAAAGGCGGCACTCAGCAATAGAAAAAGAAGCCTACGCCATTGTAGCATCTTTAAGGAAATGGCACCACTACTTAGTAGGTAATGGCTTTACCCATGTCACTGATCAACGCTCTGTGGCCTTAATGTACGACAAACAAAGCAAAGTGAAAATAAAGAATGAGGAAATTCAAAGGTGGAGACTGGAACTGAGCTGATTCCACTACGATGTCTTGTATAGACCAGGCAAACACAATGTAGCTGCTGATACGTTTTCTAGAAACGAGTGTGTTTCAGTTATGAGTCAAAATGAATTAAAACTGCTCCATGACTCTGTGTCATCCGGGAGTAACAAGACTATGGCATTTAGTGCGAGCGAAAAACTTACCTTTCTCTGAATGAAGATGTCAGGCTGGTTGTCAATCAGTGCCGAAGTAAAACCCAGATATTTCAGTAATTCTCATGGAACTCTAAGGCGATGAAACCTTTCCAGAGACTAAGTATGGACTTTAAAGGACCGCTCCTTTCTACATCTCGGAACACATACATGCTAACCATTGTGGATGAATTTTCAAGATTCCCGTTTGCATACGCCTGTTCTGATATGTCGGCTTCTACAATTATTAGATATCTCGATAACCTATTCGGACTATTCAGAATGCATGACTACGTACACTCTGATAGAGGTACGTCATTCATATCAAGAGAGGTGCAGGATTTTTTACATGAGAGTGGGGTAGCTACCAGCAGGATGACCCCATATAAACCCAGAGGAAACTCTCAAGTAGAAAGGCTAAACGGCTCATTATGGAAAGCTTTAACCCTGGCCTTAAAAACTCAAGGACTCCCGGTTTCCACATGGGGGCAGGTGTTAAACCAAGTCCTGCACTCTATTCGTTCTCTACTCAGTACCGCTACTAACGAGGGTCCACCTTCGAAAAATCACTCCCGACATGGTTAACTCAACCTGGAAAAGTGTTGTTAAGAAAGGGAATTCGTCCATCAAAATATGACGATTTAATCACATGCAATCCACAGCATGCCATTGTCAGACTTCCTGATGGAAGAGAAGAAACAGTGTCAATGCGACAGTTAGCCCCCGCTCAAGGAGAGCGAGAAACGGAGGTGTACCAACATACAGAACATGAAGACTCAGTTGCATGTGCCTATTGACCATGTTACTATGGAACCAATGGCTTCTCCCAACACACAAGTACAACAGGGGGAAAATGATCAGTAAGAAGTAAATACAGGGGCTGAGTCTCTAGCTCGAGAGCCGCCGATGTCACCAATTCAGAGAGACGGCAGCATTGGTCCTGGTGGATACAACCTAGGACCAAAAAAAAAACAGACCTTATTACAAGGTCTAACATTGTATTTATTGGTCTAAATTAACATGTATAGCATAATGTGGCACACTTAGGAAATGACCATATAATAGTATATGACATTTCTAGTTAGACATTTTGTATTGTATTAATTGTTACTTTATTACTCTAAACTACAATTTCTAATAGTCTAACTTAATATTTATACGCATAATATGATGCACTTAAGAACTGATTATATTGTTTGTTTATGGTTACATAATGCCTTTTTAATAGAGTAATACTGTAAGCATTCTGTAGAGATACTTACAACTCCTTAGAAATCTATCATTGTTTATTTTCTATTATTTACATGTTTTGTTCCTATAACTTCTAGGCGGGGTGATCGTAATGTAACTAAGTTTGTTTTTTTAATTTTCAGCGTGTCAGAAGGTCATGTCCAGTGTGTGTGTGTGTTCATAGTAGTTAAGCAATGTCATGTGAGATGTGTTTGTGCTCGTTCACTGTCTACTGCAATCTTGTCGAATAAAGCCGTGCTATTGGTATTCTAGTAGTTGTTATCTCATTACAGAAGTGCAGAGGTTAGCAGATTTGATATTCGACCTACAATTGTTTACTAAAAGGGTAGCAGGATATTGTACATAAGACACCTCAGAAAAAGCATTTTAGCTGCCCCCGTAAGGGGAAAAGCAGTTATTAGGTTTGTGCAAAATGTCCGTCTGTCAGACTCAGATCTCAAAAACTAGAAGAGAAAAAAATATATTAGTTCACCGTGCGTTGTGGCTTGCAAAGTTTAGGTGCGACGGCTACTTATTGTTTTCCAAAAGCAAACTGTTTAGTTTATAAATTAATTATGCAAGCGATTTTATTCATAAAAATACACCAAATCTACAATGCATTCATGTAAGGGAGATAATGTTACAACATGTTAACGAAGAAAGATAACTTTTTGTGTATTTACAGTATCACGAAGTCAATGTATTTATAAAATGTACAAGAAATGTTTACAAATATAAATTTTAGTTAACTGTGTTTTTTCTGGTCAACTAGCTATTAAAATGAAAAGAAAACATTTATGTTTGTTTATAAAGGCTAATAATGCACTTTTTATGTAAATTTCACGTACATTTTTAAAAAAAGGACTTTCGTGCAGTATCGTGAATGGCCTCATAAAAAAAATTGGAACGCTGCTAAGTATCTTACCACCTAAAATTTTTACATAATAAGATTTTATGTAGCAATTAATCTGTAAGGATACTCATGACACTTCTTTTGATAATAAGTTATATTTGGTTAAAGTTACTCGATATGAGTGTGTGGAAGTTTAAATAAAAACTTCTCACGGAAAACTATTCAAGAACTGTTTCTTACAGGAAAGTCAACACCTCTGCATGAATATTTCTTCCTTCTTGTTACGTCCTCCTAGAACACGTGATCAGAGAGCCCGGCGCGGGTTAACCCGAGTGTCATCTGTCTGCTATACACTCTAAGAACATGGCAAGCCCGTGGAAACAGGATGAGAACGAGACGACAATTTCTATATCTTGGCGAGTGTCCCACCGCCAGCGCACCCAACAAATGAACTCACAAGTGCTTACGTTCCTCTGCTTAAGAGGAAAAACATCAATAGCACACGGTGACCGGAAGTCAAAGGAGTCTTACAACACCGACAAGAAATTCTGTGGCTCGAAGGAACTCACACCACTACAAACTGGAAAAAAAATGAAGGAGAAACTCAGAAAACACCAGTGCTTCGTCCCAAGGGAGATTACAAGAATATATAAATCACCGAAAAAGTTTGATCCATCAATTGTCTCATAAAAAAGGTACTCCAATGATATCCTCAACAGTAAAACTCAGAAAAAGACTCAAAAACTACTTAAGGAGATCTCCACTCTTGTCACCCTTGAGTAGTTTGAACTAAATGCAGTGCTTCCAAAGCTCTCTACTACTAATGTTGTTAACTTATTGACAAACATTCCACTATTATGCCAAAATTTATTAAGTTACTTTTCTTTCCCCTCTGATTCTGTAATTACATTTTGACAGAAAATGCTCTTACACCTTGTTCCTAGCTTCATATTGTTACACAATCTTTATATTTACATTTAACATAACTAGGATGTTGCCACCTTACCATGCGAATGAGTTCTGTACTATTATAGTAAATATATAGTTTCATTATATATACATTTTTGTAACTCTAACAGACCAAGAGATTTCCTGATGATATAGGATGGAGGTCCTTTGTCTTGGTTTTTTAAGAGGAACAATTGTTGCATAAAGTCATGAATTTTAATAAACTCATAAGCCCTTAAAATTTAATTATTTTTTTTTTGGAATATTTGATTTGAGGGAAAATTTTCAAGATTTATGTAAATTGGCTTTGGCATCATTTTCTGGCTCTTACTGTCATCATTTTCTGGACCTTTGCTGCGGTCTATTCGACGATCATGATGGAAATCATGTAGTGTGTTTTTGAAAATTCACAAAATTTGTTTTTCTAACATATTCTTTGTATTATTATTGATATAAAATAATATGTTATGTGTTTTCTTTTAAATAAAATTTTATTTAAAAAAAAAATGTTTTCTTGTTTAGAGCCCATCAGGATATAAGTCGTTTATTTTTTTGCGTTTTGTCTGTTGGTCGGTCTGTCCGTCACGTTTAGATAAAAAAACAAAAACTATTGAAAATCTGATTTAACCTTTAATGTTCCTTCCGAAACATCGTATTAGTTTTAAGTATTATATATTAACATTCTAGATCTAGTCTTGATCTAAGTCTAGTTTAGATTTAGGTAGTTCGATAAAAATTCTAAACTCAAAATACCGGTACAGATATAAGAACTTTAACGCTATATGGTTGAAAAGTGCTTTAAAAAATATCTCCATCAGCACTAAAATAGTCATTGTATGACAAAAGGTAAGGGATTTATTAATTTTTATTTGCGAGGGGGAAATTATTTTTGTTATTATTTTCTCTTATTACATGTGACATTTAATTAAATTTCAATGTATTGATAAGGTTAATAATTATTATTTAAAGAAATATGGTGTACGCTGAATAACATATAGGAGGCATGGTCTCTGAGTGGTAAAGGGCTTTGCTTCCAATCCTGGGAATTTTACTTTCGGTATCTTCAGGGCGCCTCTGAGTTGTTTGGGGTTTCTTTTTCCATTGTGAGTACACCAGCTCTAAATGGTATCTGATATTAGTTGGGGAAAAGTAAAGGTGGTTGGTCGCGTTAACCGCTTGTCATGGAAACAGATGACCTTGACATCATCTGCCCCATAGATCACTAGGTATGAAAAGGGAACTTTAAGTAATAAATATACACAAAAAAAACAACAACAAAAAAAAACAACTTGTAATTGAAAAAGTTTATGTTTAATAAAAATTCATTTTGAAAGAAAAAAAAACTGTAAAAGAGAAAACAAAATGTGTATTATTTTAGTGCCCAATGATTTTTAAATTTGTTTTACTTTATTATTTTTAACGATCAAAACAAGACAATGATTTGAATATTTCTCGTCCATTGGTGAGTTCAATGCGGACCGCCTCCGAATATTTGTGATAATACAAACTCTCTTATCATGTTTTTAAAAATGTCTATAATATATAAGATAAGAAGATAGCTTATTAATGTTGTTTTTTCTCATGTTATTTTTCCTGCACATCTAAAATGGTCAGATTTCTAATTAACATATCTGGATCTTGGATTTGAATCTCTGTGAAGAATGGGATTTGAACTTCAGGATATTTAGGATGCCCCTTAATCCACTTCACTCTAATGCAGCGGTTCTCAACCTTTTTTTAAGCTCGGCGTCCCCTTTTTACAATCCCCACTCTGCCACGACCCCCCCCCCGCACACACACACAGCAATAAAGGAATAGACAAAAAACAATACACTTTTTCGATGGTCTTTGGCGACCCCTGACGACCCACAGGTTGAGAACTCCTGCTCTAATGAGTACCTGACTTAAGTTGGGGAAAATAAAGGCCATTGGTCATTGTGCTAGCTACATGACACCTAAGTCAACCATTGGCCAAAGAAACAGATGACCTTAACATAATATACCCTATAGACACCTTGATCTGAAAAGGGGAACTTTCAGTGACATCATAATGACCAACAGTTATAGTATAGACCTAAATTCAAAATGAAATTAATAAATAACTACTACTGGAACATAGGTAATAAAGACTACATTTAGTAAAACGTAGCAGGAACAAAAAAGGGAAATGTTTCCAACAATTAACAATTCTGAAAACTTTTTGTTTGCTGAGTTAAACATAAATAGCACAAAAATATATATATATATAAGTAGCAGAATGTAATCAATAGCAAAAAATTATATTCTACTCTGCATTGGACTATACAAAATAAAAAAAATAAAACTAAAATACATCTATCCTACATTAGCCTGTATAAATGACAAATTAAAATACAAAAATAGATCTGGGAGCACCAGCTCACATACATGCCAGTAGATTATAATTATTCTATTACTTTATTTTTTTTTTTTTTGGGTAAGCAATCATTGTTTTGAATGAATCAATGTGTGCCAATAACATCAGAATATATTGTATTTTTATATGTACTCTAATTAACAATTAGAAATAGGTCACTCTTGTATTCTAGCTTTATAAATATATTTTAAGCTATTTATATGCCATGATTTTTTCTACTTTCTCAAGTGCATTTCAAACATCGAAAAAATAAAACTATAAAACTAAAGAAAACGAGGTCAAGAAAACAGCAGAAGAAATAAAGTCTATTTTATTTTAAAGTTATATTCAATTTGAATGTAAAAAAAAAAATCAGCATGTTGCAAAGTCTTTCTTAATAGGCAACATATCTATAATACTTCTGAAACAAAACAAAACAAAAAAAGAACATTTTTTTTGCTTTAAAACTTCTTAAGTAAGATAAGTTTATAACAAAACATCGGAAATGAAAACTAAATAATGAAACAAAAAATATTTAACTTTTGTAACACTAAAATTGCTAGTTAAATTTCCGCCAAAATAAATATCTAAAACAAGAAATGTTATTGCAAAGTAACATATGTGATTCAATAAATATTTTTTTTTTAATAAATAGAAAGAAATACACTACTTCCCCTCTACCTAAGTACTGATAGATAGGATTAATTACCTCCAAAGCCAGTGTTCTTTTCTTACAAGCGAACATCAATTTTTTTGACAATGAACATGTGAACCACAATGGGAATTTTAAAATGTCACCTGATGGAGTACGGCACACTGGACAGGACCTGAGTAAAAAAGAATTACATCATGCAAATCCTGTTGCTCACATAATACTTTGGCCATAACCTCCCCATTTTATTTTTTCACTTTCAACAATTCATTTTTTGGCTTATGTCCTGTTTTAAAAAAACTTTCCCAAACACACTCACATCTAGCCTGAAAATCATTTTTCTATTATTGCATCTTGCAAATTAGACATCAACATACAATTTTGGCTGAACTTACCCACCAATTTAAACATTCCTCAAACTTAATTTTAGCCCGCAACTATGTGACTTTAAATTAGAATGGCCTGCTTATATCCAACTCCCACAAATAAACACATACTTCTGGCCTGAGAATTCTAGCATCAATTTTTTTTTAGCTGTACCATGTCACCATTCTAAAAAAATAAACCTACATAAAATCAATTACCTTCCTTAGGCTTCATAATTCAAAATTAAATAATTTCACAAGCTCTATGTAGCTTTTTGTAGGACCTCTTTAAAAATGTTATCACTCTAGTGTCATAGCACTATGATTTTTTTTCCAAAATAATATACTTATTCTTTATATGCCTACATTTCACTTTTTTAAAAATACATTTTTACACTCACAGTTTGGTGATATGGAGTCGAAAGCATGGTTTGTGGGGTTGGATTTCACAGTACAAAAGGCAGCCTAAATTCAGCACACAGGTTTTCAATTAAACTTATTATTGTGGGGAAAGTACTCTAGTGAAAAGAAATCAAAGCAGGATATAATTTAAATAGTCTCTTCTCCGAAGGATTTAGAACTAACCACTTGGTCTTTAAATAGCCTGAATTCTAGCTGCTATATTCTAAATCTATGAATTAGATTTTTTATTCCTCTAAAGATTCCACCGAAGGGTGGCGCAAAGAATTGTATCATTAGGGAAAACAATTTCACTTTATTGTGGGCTTAAAGAATCTGAAAACTGTGCATCACTAGCCAGCTTCTCTACTTTGTTCATTATATAGGGACCAAACCTTAAGTAACAATTAATTGCTTCACATTTGATTAAAAAACTGGACTATATAATTGACAAAAATAAATTTTCCAGCATCAAATTGATATATCTATTAGGTATTTAAATGTCGGAGAAGTACCTTAAATTAATGGAGGCTTACAAGATTTTAAAAAGTTTACAAAACAAAAGAGTGACATTAATCCACTTATTTTTAATGAAAGCTGGATGTTCGCTATCCAGCCTGGACGTTTTATGAAAAGCGTGACAGACGGTCCAAAGCTGGACTGTCACGCCTAAATCGGGACGTTTGGTCACCTTATTATAGTGGATTGTGGCAAGTTGTAATATTTCTAACTTCTAGCAAGAAGGTTTTTTTTTAAATATATTCATTCTTTAAAAATATTTTCACAAGCTATAATTTTTCTTTTAATTTTTTTTTATTTTGTTAAATTACTTTTACAATCTACAAAGGTTCAAACCCATAATCATTAACAGTAGGAAGAGTAGAGGCTAAGAAAAATTAAAATGTTAAATATGACAATACCAACTTTTGACGATACCTTTATTCAAATCAGAACTTCATGGAATCTAGAATCAGCTAGGACACTGATTTCAAAAATGGCTTCAAAGATTTTCCTATAAATTGAATGGTTGATGTTTATTGCTGAGAAAAGAATTTCTAGCTTAATTGTTGGCCACGCAGGAAAAACTCTAGTTTGATTGTTATAATTTTCCAAAGTAAAAAATAATTAAATGTAAATTTAGCTTGAGTACTAGACTTTGAATAACTTAGATCTAGAGCAAACATTAGTTCTGAAAGTATGATCATGTTTTTGAAAGGACTATTGTGTTTGATATTTTAGAATGCAAAGCATTATTGATTCAAGAGTAGGACTATAATACATTAATGTTCACAAAAATTATGCACATTGTCTTCAATAATGGGATATGTTGTGCTTATGCGTTTCTTTGGTTTAAAATTATGATTACCTTTTTCCTTATATATCTTTTGCATTTTTCAGTTCTCATTTTAAATTTAACTGACATTATTAGGCTGTAAATTTAAGTGTACCTGATAGAAAAAAAATTCTGCACAAAAATACGGGGAGTTGGGATCAAACCAGATAGAGGCTATAAAAAAAAAGACCTGAAACAAGTGCGTGAAACTACACATTTACAGTACTTTATTTGATGAGTCTTTTACCCAAGATCTGTGTCTTTTTTAGGACTAGCTTAATTCAATTACCTTTCCAATATAAAATTTCACACACAAAAATAATTGTAGAAATAAAAATTGTGATTTTAAAACTTTTAATGATTTTTTAAAAGGTGTTTAAAAAGGTGTTACTGTAATCAATTGTGAATATTCGTTTGTTATAAATGTTACTGTCAATTTTGTATCTGTTTTAATTTCTTAATGTTTTCTTAAGTTGACGGGTCGTGTTTTCTTCTTATATTTATGCCTGACTTCTCAGTCGTTGTGAGACATTGGTCCGAAATAATTCTAAGCTTATAATATAAAAAAAACAAGTCACATGAGAATATATGAATGAACTTGTTTTAGATGAAGTCTATTAATTATAGTTGCTTTGAAAAATTGATCTCACACATGCCATGGGCCTTGTCATAATAGTCATAGATCATATATACCATACCACTTAAAGCTAACGGGCTCGTCCGTCAACCTCTAACGCTTTAGGCAGTGCATATAGGCCTTATTTTTGTTCCAAAACATAGTACCTTACTTATTGGTTGTTTTACTACATTAGGTGGGCTACTGCATAGCACATAATTCTTCTTCATGGAAGATTTTTGCCTTTAATGATTCAGAAACATGTTGCATGAAAAATCAACAAAATAGATGCTTTCCGGAGTCAGAAAATAGCGATTAATTACGGAGGATAGCCAGAACAGTTGCAATAAAACTAACACCACATATAGTTGCTTAGAAGATCAAATACAGATTTACTCGGGGAGCATTTCTGGCTTTTGGCTGTGCAAACTTTTTTGTTTAAAGGTGAACTGTTAAACAATGATGGCCTATTTTTTAGGCCAATTAAAATCGACAGATGTCGAATCTGAATGGAGTTTCGAAACCAAAAATGTCATGTTTACATGGTATCACATAGATGCAGGAAAGGGCTTCTATAATATAGAATAACAGGTTTTTGAGAACTAGTCTGGCGTTCAAAACTGAGTGAAAGGAATTTCTTTATGCAGGGCCCCTCAGGTGCAGGGCCTGGATTGTTGCCCAACTTGCCACCCCCTAAAGCCACTATTGCATAGATATATGAAATTAAGATAAAAATCTGTAATTTATATAGGCCTAAAATATTCACAGCGAATTGAAATTGTAACTATAGAATGAATAGATCTACTTCTAGAATATATATCTAGGCTATAAATATAGAAGAAACATAATCTAAGATAATCAGAATTTACTGGTACTCTAGGCAGTCTAGATCTAAAGTCTTAGACTTAGTCTTGATTTTAGACTAGATTTAAACCTATACATACGCTTCCTTCGTGGACCTAACCAAGGCTTTCGACACAGTCAATGGTTAATGGAGGATTCTGGCCAGGTTCAGATGCCCAGCTACGCACATATCCATTCTCAAACAGTTTCATGTG